TCAACAACCACTACCCAGCAGAATCATTTTCAATAAGCATCTATTTTAAATATAATGTTAATTCTAGATTTGTCAAAAGTATTTTTTAGGTATTATAAATTTTCACTAAAATATGAAAAACAAATTATGACCATGATCTGGAATTCGTATAAAAGAAAGCTTTTTAGAGTTCAGATTATGGCAAATCAAAACACCATAGACATCAAGTTCTGGCCTTAGTTACAGGAAAATTATCAAAAATCAAAAATAGTTCCTTAAAAATACTATATGTCCCTAAAGTCAAGAGCAGAGGTAATAGCAGTTTCTTAGATTGCAAGCGACACAAGGTCTTGATTTCCTGTTTGTTATTAATAATGGCAGTACACCTACCAACTCCCACCTCCCTGTGAGGCTGTGGCATGCCAAAGGGCCAGAGATCCCATACCTTACACATCTCTGGGGACACCCTCCATGCCCAGGCACCTGGCAGGGGAACCATGACTCCTGGCAACAAGCCCTGGTACGTCTTGCATCAGTCATCCTTAAGTCTTATAAGGTTCCAAACACCTACTTTCCCTCCCCTTTCTCTCCCAGTAGGGCCCCGCTCCACTTTACGCTGCCCTTCTCACTCCTTACCTCTATTTTATAATTTGTTTCAATCACCACCCTCATGTGTTTCGAACAGTTTGTAGTTTACAGAGTACTTTCTCCGAGACTTCTGTCAACACCTGCTAGGAAGGCAGGATAGTTTATCACTTCTTTTTATTGTATAGCAATGAGAAGGCCAAGGCCTGGAGAAGGAAAGGGCCTGCCCGCACCTGTCGGATGTCTCAGGTGTGGTTCGGGAGTAGACATGACGCTTCTTCCTCTGCTCATTACCAGTTTCCCTCCCAACTGTACTCAAGGGCCACGTAATTACCAGGGCGAACACAGTCTCTGAGTAAGGATTAGGTATTAAGTGACATGCTTTGCAGTTGGCGCTTCGAAAACCTTCTGGCTCACGGAATATGAAGTCGTTTCTTTGCCAGACAGGAAAGGAGCTCCTTTTACACAATCCCCGTCTTGAAGTCTTGGCAGAGCAGATTTCAGAGACATTATGACCACCAAAGTAGCCAAACACAAGGCCCATCACGCCCAAGGAGAGCATGTTTTTATTTTATAATTTAAAAAAAACTGTATGATGAGGCTTCTATAGAGGATTCAGTTTATAGCTAAATATATTAGGAGCACTGCTCTTGAAGACCAATCAGCCACAGGATTAAACAATGAAATGACATTTGTCAATTAGGAAAGTAATTTGATCCCCACTGTTCTATGTAGCCACACCTTCACTGGCTCCTTCTTTCCTTCTTTTCTTCTTTTTTTCCTCTCACATCTATCAGCTCCACACTGTGCGCCAGGCCCTGGCAGTGTGAGCCAGCCTGTGTGCAAGCTCTGCTTTCAAAAGTATTCAAAGGGGTAGAGATAAATTTTAGGTAGTCTTGGGGTTTTGGTGGTTCATTAACTGTTTAAATATGCTTCAATGGTTTAGGCCTATGGTTCTCAGCCATGGCTGCACATCAGGGTCACCTGGGCAGCCAGGCCTGCCTCACAGGCCCATGACCAGTGCAGTCCCACAGGGCCCCGTATGCAGAAGGCCCTGTGCTTACCTTGATGCTCTGATGTCACAGTCTTGAAATTCTCAATCATTTTGGACAAGGAGTCCTGCGTTTTCATCTCACATCAGGTTGTGCAAATTATATAGCTAATCCTGTGTGCAGGTTTTAAATATGCCAATGCCCACCCAGGCTGTACCTAGACCAATTAGTCAAAGTCCCTGGAGGTGGTGCCCAGGCCTCTGTACTCTGTAGGGCTCCCCAGGTGATTGCAGTGGGTAGCCAACTTTGAGAAACACTGGTGTAGAATAGAAGTTCTCAGGTGGGGTGTTTTTGTGTTGTGGGGGACATCAGATTCACTTGAAGTACTTTCCAAACTCTGCACACTCATGTGTAGAAATTGAAAAGTATTCTGATCCTATCCGACTCCCAGGCAGGAGCCTTAGATGAATAATACCTCCCTATAAAACAGGACCACTTCTTTTGCATTTACCCGGATATGGAGTTGCCGTGGCAGTTGCTATATATTAACTGTTTGGACCTGCGCAGTTAGGGCATTATGGTCTCTGAACTGCAACTTCATATTCACAGAGCCGTGTTCTCTGCGGCACTGCTAACTGAGGCACAGCTGTCTAGAGGCAGCATGGCAGGAAAAGACACGGCGGCATGAATGATAACTCTGGCTTTCACTCACAGTGATGTGATTGGAGCATGTTTTCTTTGTGCCTCAGTTTCCATATTAGTAAAATGGGCATAATAATACCCAATTTACAGTAGTATTGTGAGGATTAAATGAGATAAAGTGCACAAAATGTGTAGTACAGTACTTAATGTATTGTAGGTGGTCAATAAATAAATATTTGTGTATTGTCTCCTCCAAGAGGAAATATTAGCATGTGCTTCCCATCAACTATCGACTATGGCTTTTCCCTAAAAGAAAATAGGATTCATTATTCTGGAAACAAGGAGGAAATACTAATCAGTATTCTTCAGTTAGTGTACTTATCAAATATGCAGTTTGTATTCATTCAGCTCATAGCTATTGAACATCTATTGGGTCAAGGTGTCAGGGATGTATTCCATAAATATATATACACCACATATATACATGCAACATATATATAGACACACACATATATATACATATATTTAATACACACCAACATATATGTGAGAGGTCCCTATTGCCTAATACTTTTATTTAAACTTTACTCATTTTAACTACCAAAGTAATGCTTATTATAACAACTCAAACAACATAAAGTAATTTAATTAAATTTACTAACTCTTCTTCCTTCTCCCATCTCACCCTCCTAATGTAAACATTTTTAAATATAACTTGAACTTAAACATGAATTTGATATGTAGTTTTCCATTATTTTTCTTTTGCACACACACACACACACGCACCCCACATGGGCACATACAGCATATCACATGCTATAACTTGCTTTCCTTCTCTTCTTCACTTAACAATATAACGTGGGAATTTTTTGAAGTGACTACATATCACCCATCTATTCATTTTCAATAGCTCATGGCATTTCAGAGGACAGACGTGTTTTTCATCCATTCCCCTGGTTATGGGCATGTGGTATTTGTCTATAGAAGGTGATGCTGCAATAAACACTCTTCACGTATAAATTTAAATACTGGCACTTCTACCTTTTTTAGAGGAAGCAGGGATAGAACCTCCAGCAGTTTATAATCCAAGAGTGAGCAAGGCAAAAGCAAACAAATATAACATGACACCCCAACCTTTATTGGCATGTACCAGGCACTACGGTGGATGTGCAAGCTACAAACGTGGATGAGGCTTGGTCTGAACTCAAGCAGTTTACTAAAGCAGCACGTGAGTCAATGTCAAACCCAAGGTTATATCCAGGAGCAGTGGCACACACCTGTAGTCCTAGCTACATGGGAGGCTAAGGTGGGAGGATCACTTGAGCCCAAGAGTTCAAGTCCAGCCTGGGCAAAAAAAAAAAAAAAAAAAAAGCAAAGCAATTTTGCAAACAACCCTATCAAATGATGTCTGAGTATAAGGTCCATGTAGAAATCTTCCTATGGTTCTTAAGCTACCCTCTATTCCAGCCTCAGGTTCTATCGAGTTCTGTTGACTCTGAAGTGGTTTTACATGAAAGTCCTTTCATGCAGCTTCCTTCCAATTTTTTTTTTTTTTTTTTTTTTTGCAGCAGAAAACAAAAGGAACTCACAACTAAATCACAGAAGCAATGTTAACTTGTCTTTCTAATGTGGCCAGTAATTTATCTGATTGCTCACAGTTTGCTCTATCATTTCCTTCCAGAAGCTGAAAGTGAAAAAGAAAGTTTTCCCAGCAGAAAATCGTGTTTCTTCTGTCGGGCCTTTGACACACATTCAGTGCTGCACTTACACGTAGATACTTAACTAGTTCACATGAAAGAACTGGAAGTTACAAAGCCAAGTTAAATCATAAAATAACTTTTGAAAGCAGATTAAACAGGATCCAACAGATTTTTTTTTTTTTTTTTTTTTTAGGGAGCTATGAAATAGTGTCACCAGAATTGTTTTTACTCTTGGTGACTTTACTGTGAAAATGTTTAAATGCTGTAGCACCAATGGAGGTGTGCAGCTCACGCCTGCTTGGAGCAATAACTTGCCGATCTGCTGCCAGGAGCGCAGTTAGCTGACAGCCTCCAGCTGTAGCACTTTCAGGTCTGCCTCAGCTTTCTGCAGAGGCCCCGCCAGTGACTGAGCCATGGTGGGGATGCTGGGACCTGGCTGTTTCTGGAAGGGGAGCTCTGTGCTCTGGAGCTAACCGCTGACTTGGCTAAGACTTCGTCAGGTCTGCATTGGCTGGGTCTGCCTGGCGATCTGGGGCTCCTCCTGCCCAATCCTGCCTCCTTCCCCTTTTATTTTTCACAGGCAAACCTCTTCCCTTCCTGACTCCTCAGCATCTGTTTTCTAGGGCACCCAATACACACATATGCTTTCCCAGCCATGCAGCACTCATCTCATCCAGAGGGCCAAAGTATCTGAACGTATCACTGTCCCCTGATGCTCTTGCACCGGGCTCTGGTGAAAATGAATTACGATACTGCCAAAATGAAACTGACCATTTCATCTCAATTATCTCAGCTGAGACACAAATGAAAAATTAAATGTGGAGAAAAACAAACTCATATATATTCTGAAATTCCACTTCTTAAGTTACCCAAACTATTTCTAAGAGCCAAGGTAAGGAACATATTTTAGTATTCCATTTGTGTTCGCCATGAACCCATTAGAGCCAAGACATTGTAGTTACAATGAGAGAACACCATTTCAATTTCTGCCACTTTAATCACAATTCCACTTTGAGCTCATTGTTCTTGATAAGATGCTGTCCCTCACGGTTCCACAGACTGAGAAGGAAAAGGATAATAATGGCGTTCTTTGCCGTTGCAGGAGAGTTTGGAGAGGTGTACAAGGGGCGTTTGAAACTGCCAGGCAAGAGGGAGATCTCTGTGGCCATCAAGACCCTGAAGGCAGGCTACTCGGAGAAGCAGCGCCGGGATTTCCTGAGTGAAGCAAGCATCATGGGCCAGTTCGACCACCCCAACATCATCCGCCTGGAGGGTGTGGTCACCAAGAGCCGGCCCGTCATGATCGTCACCGAGTTCATGGAGAACGGGGCTCTGGACTCTTTCCTCAGGGTAAGGGCAGCTCAGGGGCATGGAAGATGCAACGTAGGATGCAGGTAGATTGTGGCTGGGGAGAAGGGTCCCGTGAGGGCATCCCACCGTTCAGGAATCACCTGATCGAATGTGAATGGGTATTGCAGATCTTAGCAGAGATTTGTTGCTAAAAGAAGAGAACAAAGCAGAGCTCGTGGACTCCTCTGGAGGAGGACAGCATAGAATAGGGACTTGATAAATGTTTGCAGGTGGATAAAATGAATAGAGAGGGGCAAAGAGTGGCCATTGGCATCTGCATGAATCACAGAGATTGAAGAGACGTCTGGCTGCTATGTAGCCCCGTGTGATTCATGCAGACACCAGCACAGCCACCTCCCAGCCGGCTCTCTGCATTTGCGGGTTCAGAGATAAAACAGGCTTCCCTTTTCTGATGTCTCAGCCACCTGCCCTCTGAGGAGGCACTTCTTGGCAGGAAGGGGGAAGACTGTGTAATAAGTATTCTCGGTTCTTTTCCGGGGTTGATGAAGACTCCTAACTAACCTGCAGCAGAGGCGGGGAATGGCTGAGGGCCTTTGGCTGGGAGACCTATAAAAGACCATTATCAGAACACATCCCACATGGAGCAGGCCTGCAATGGACCCACTTTTGTTTCTGTAGGAGATTACAGAGCCACTCACAAAAGGGGTGTGGGGATGGCCAGATGCTGATGTTTGAGTAGTGGGAGCTGACCACATAGGCTAGGAAGTGGGACCCGTCACTGAAGAGGCCCAGCTGTGGCTGGGGAGCCTGAGAGCAGATGGTCCAGTAGGCAGCATCAAAGAAGAGTAGAGGCTTCTAAGCAAAGACTTCAGGGTGACATCCAGAAGCAGGCTTCACGTGTAATCATCACCAAAGCAACCAGACAATAGCTGTGGCTGCAGATCAAAGGGCCATTCCTATAGTCATTCAATGGGTCACCAGTCTGGCCAGGCCCTGTGCTAGATGCTGGGCCTGTAGAGATGAAAGAAATCTTGCTCTAAGGCTATGTATCCAATCACCCTCAAGACTTTAGTGGAGTCAGCCGGTGGCCCAAGGGCTGAGGCTGGGAATCTTCAAAGGCTCCTTTGCTCAAATACTAGGAAGTTAATGGTGAATGTCAGCTGGCTCCTTTCCATGGGGTCTGCTTGGGCAGCATTAGAGCAAGCTGAGTCCCCAGAAAAAGCAGCCCAAGAGGAGAAAGGGGGAGCTATATCACCTTTGTAACCCGGCCTCAGAAGTCACATAGTGTCACTTCCAACATAGTGACAAGCCCCCCCAGACTCAAGAGGAGAAAATAGGCCCCCACATTTTGATGGAGGGACATCAACCAATGTCTTCTTCTCACACATAAGAGATGGGAGAGCTTGTTATGTCCATCTTATGCAATAGAACCTGCCACAGATGTAGTCCCCTGTCCCTGAAGACCTCAGTGCCTAAAACTTTAGCAATCACTGACTATCTTATACTTTTTGTTTCTGTGAGTGGATTACAGAGGCCTCATAAGCAAAGAAAAACTTATATCTTCCTGGGGAAGCCAGGGAGTCTGTAATGAAGAGGAGAATTTATCTGATATTAGAGAATGGGGAATATGCCAGATAGGTTGGGGAGTAGGCAGGTAGGCTGACATAACAGCATGTTTGAAGGCCAGATTAAGAGCGGACCTATTTGGTAACTTGCTGGCAACTGTGTGGTAGGTCCAGCACTCAGAAGCAGAGCCTGGGGCAGCAGTGGAGGGGTAGCTGAAGGATTTGTCTAGAAGCATAGTGCTTATGCTACCTTTGCAGGGCAAGCACACACTTTTTGCCTAGTCTGGGTCATTAGGCAGTAGTGACTTTTGTTTTTCCGGAGTAGAGGTAGGGGGACAACTGATAAAGATTATGAGGCCCGTGTACGTTGCCTGGGGAAGCCTCCTTGAGGGTGATGCCTTGTATTTTGGAACCCCAGTACCTAGCACAGTAAGCACCTGATAAGTGGTAGTTGAATGAAAAATATGAACAAAAACATTAGGGAGTAGCAGGAGAGGTCTAGTCATTCTGTGTGTCCACAATCTCTCATTAACTGTCTTTGTAGCCACACCCCTCATATCAGTGCAAGGCAGAGTCTATGCTTTCCCGGGGTCATTCCTTTGTGATCAGAGATCTCATGAAGACAGCCAAGTAAACATGAAGCAGAAGCAATGTTAGAAGAAGAAGTATTTTCTGGAACCAGCCTCAAGACCCTTTCAGGAGTCAGTTATTTCCCGCCAGTCACCTAACTGGACTTCAGTGAAAGTCACTATATGATTTGGGGACTGTGATCAAACACCCTCCCTGGACTATCAGGGGAACAAGGAGATTTATTCTTAGGAACCTGCAGAAAGTTAAAACTCCACACGCCTGCTCCTTCCAGGGCCTATTTCCATTTGGGGACCAAATCACAGAGGCATGTTGGACACCAGCATTTCTCATGATGACGAGGCCGGGCCAGCAGTGGGAGAAAACCTAGGGGCAGGGGAGGAGCACAGGAAACCGGGGAGGGCAGGGTGAGAGAGGAGTGGTAGTGGTGCGGGCAGGCAGTGCCAGGAGGGGAGAGGGGAAGTGAAGCGTTTCTGACTCCTCGCACGGCATGGAAGCAGGTAATCTATAAATCTAATTTCAGCCTTACAACCGAACCCTGGAGCATAGCAACATTAATTGATGTATCTGCTGCTTGATAAAATCGAAAAATAGGTCATCAGTTCAGTTCTACAGGGTCCATCTTCTGGGAAGTAGGATAATTTTAGGATTGCTACTCAGAAAAGAAAGGAAAAGGGTTAGTCCTCAGTGTTTGCAGTTGTTTCCTCCCCTCCAGCTCCTCCTTTTGCAGCTCTGGCCCTGGGTCAGGGTCTGAGAGGCTCTGGTCACCGGGAATCCAGGCAGCACATTGGACACAGCTTCTCATCGTCCACCCTCTGCTCCTATCCCATTGCAGGACTTAGAAACCCTCACACACTAGAGGGACTGGAAACGCCATTAGGCTTTAACCACACACTCAGTAGATGGTTCATTACTACCATTTTTTAAAAATGACTGAGTCATGGATTATACAGCATACACATTCATAATTAAATATTTCCTTCTTGGCCCTCAAATTCAAGGGATTCAATCTGGTGGCTCTTCCTAATCGTAGAAACAATTTCTGAAGCCCCGATCAGTGTCTCACGCCTTAGCTAAGGACGGCTGACGTGCTCCATAAATCCTTCTTGCCTAAAGCATGGCCTTGGGGTTGTTGCTGATTGGTTAGCAGATGGCCGTAACTGTAAGACTCTTGGAAGCCACTGAGTCATGTCCAACAGGGACAGTTCTCCTCAGGGAAGCCCATTTACGGGCCAAAGCTAGAAGACAGCAGCCCGGATGTCAGGAAGATAACCCAGACTGGAAGTCCTGAGACCGCGGTTCTGCGTTGGCTTCTGCTGTAAGTCACCCCGTGGCCTTGAGCAAATCTGTTAACTCAATTTCCCAATCTATAAACTAAAGGCATTGAGCTGGATGAGCTTGAAAGGTTCCTTTCAGTTAAAAAAAAAAATCTATGATTCATTTTCTTCAAACAAATCAAATAAGGGTTTCATTTCCTGAAGTGGATTTGTCAATGAAAGTTGAAATACCTAAATCCTTCCTGTCTAATATAAGGGCCAGCAAGTGGCTTCAGTGCATTTGCAGAAAAGCAATTTCAGCAGAAAGCACTTCATGAAGGGAAGAAAGTTTAAATCACTTCACCCAAGCCAGTATTTCTTCTCTGCACTATGTTTTTACCATGTGCTCAGCATGGAGCCGGGTTCTTCCCAAAGTCACAAGACATAAGTTGTTGGTTTTATTTTTTTCTGTCTTGTTTACCTTTGTATGCTGCTGTTCATATCTGTGGAAGTTCTTCTTGGGGAGTTACACCAATCAACTGAGCATCAAACAGTGGAACATGTCAAAGAAGTCTTAATCTGTTTATATCTTTAGATTTCAGCAAGATTGTGAATTCAGCAGACACAACCCTGCCTGTCTTGATATGTGGTTTCTCTGCAGATCCTAAAGAAAGTGCATTGCCCACTGCAGAGTCAGCATATTCCAGTGGAAAAGGACTGGACAGGAGTTAGAAGACCCAGATAAGTGTAGCATCATTAAGCAATCATGGCTCTTCCCCCTGGGAAGCTGATACACAACCTTCTCCTCCACACAGTATTTGAGGTAGCCAGTACCAGTTGATCAGAGATGGGTTGGCAGTGGAGAAGCAATTTGCCATTCCAGATGTGGATTACTGCTATAACTCAAAACCACACAGAATGATTTAAGGCTGATCACATAAGCATTCTGGACCTCCTTTGTGGATCTTATCTATGAGAAAAATATAATGTTGCCTGACTTGCCTACTTCACAGAACCAGTTTTAAGGATCAAAGATATTCTATGAAGTATGGTTTGCCATTCAAAAGTCGGGTATTAGAAATCATTGTTGATTAATTGGTGAAATCTTTAGGCCTGCATCATTAGGTCTCAGTCATCTACTATAATTACAGGTGCCCACCTATTACCTGCTGAGCTCAGAATGCACTGCGAACTGGGTTCCCCAGGGGCAGTGAGCTCAGGATGTCTTTCCCATACACCGGGAAGCCATGAGGAGCCCAGAGTTCTGGCCCGAGGTGTCCTCAGTCTCTCTCATAGCACATCTGAGGTACAGAACGGCACTAATTTTGGAAGACGTTACTAAGGCCTTGCTAATAGTAGCAGGGTTTGTTGCTGCTATCTTAGTATACACGGGACACTGAGCTAAGCCCTTTCACATGTATTATCTCATTTAACTTCACCAGAACTGCATGAAGAATGGGCACTGTGCTCTTATTGTACAGATGTGGAAATCACTGCTCCAGTGGTTAAATCACTTGCCCAAGCCCACGCAGCCAGTGAGCAGCAGAGCCTGGATCCAAACCGGATCTGTCTGGCTCCAAAGCCTAGACCTTGCACCACTTCTTGGTCTTTATTGACCCAAGAAAATTTAAAGATGACTGTTCTAAACTTTAAAACAAATCAGATAATAAAGCAGCTCCAAGAGGACTTAAGAAACTTATAGCAGAAGCATAGACACATTGCTGCGTGCACTTTCAACATTGCTCTTCTCAAAGTTGTTTTCAGTTGCCACGAATGTGCTCCTCAAATGCCAGCTCTTTTAGGGAGATATTCTATAAATGTAGACACCCACATTGTTGTCTACACTTACGGAGAGGAAATAACAAATCTAACTGAAAAAATACAACCTGGGTGACTTGCAGCTGAGATACATTTTTTATAATACACAGAAGTTGCATGACAACTTTCTGAGGAGGCAAATCCCCAGGGACATACTTGGAGAAAGCACATTGTGCTGGCAACAGCCTGGCTAACTTCTTAAGAAGGTGTTGATTAAAGTGCATTAGTGAGAAGAAGGATTTGCATCACTCACTGCACATCCAGCCCTCACAGATGGGCAACATGTGCTGAAAACCAGTCAGAGTTTCCAAAAAGCAGCTCTGCACTTTCTTCTGGAGCAGCTTAGAAGAAAATGTTATGGAGGAATCATCCATCCAATCTCCTGGGCAGAGTGGGAGGTGGTTACAGTTTTGAGTTAGAAACAGACTGGAACTTGGAACATGTAAAACCCCATGTGTTTGGGGGGCCCTCCCTCTGGCAGGATTCTCCAGAAGGAGAGCGGAGAGTCAGATTGTCCCATTCCTTCAACTGATCAGGGGGCATAACCCCTGGAACATGGATTCGGGCTTGCAATCTTGCATGAGAAACAGTCTTCAACAATTCATGCTATCATTGTTAGACTTTTCGATTGTTGGTGTTTTCACTAATAAACAGGGTATTTTTATAACAGATGTTTTATTTTTCATTATTTTTTCATAGAAAATGCTTTTGCAGGAGCATATGCATAAATGTTTAAGTGAGATAAATTACATTAGTGCATCGTGTAACATCTCACATACAGTAGATGCTCAGTGAATTGGCACTCCTCGCCCTGTCTGTGCTTTCTGCATTTCACATGAGGACTCTCAGGGAGCAGAGTGTGGCTGCCTTGCCCAGGGCACGTGTTTAGCAGTTAACACAGACTAGACCCCAGGTGTCCTGCCTCCTCCCAGCTCTCCTGCAATCGGAGCAGTCCAATGACTGGGCTGTTTTGTATGGATAGCACACAATTCTTGGCCCTTTGAAGTGCAGCAGGGCTGGACTAGATGGTAAATTGTGTCCTTGGTAGCATGGGCCAGAGTCCACCAATTTCACTGGTTTGTGCAGAGACAGGACCTAGGAACTTTGAGGAGGCAGGAGGAAGGCACAGGCTCATTGGCTGAAGAGTCTGCCATCTAACCAGGGGAAGGCATCCACCCAAGAAACTGTAAGCCACCTATGATTGGAGAAAGGGCCATACTGCAGGTAGTAACAAGGTTGGACAGCAACAGCTCCCAGTCACTAGGGGGTTTCCGTGTGCCAGACACTGGGCGTGAGCTTCTCCTACCCTGCTGATCCCCACGGGGTAGGTGTGGCTATCCCAGTGTGAAAGCTGACAGCCCAGAGACTACCCGGGGAAGGTGCCTTAAACATTTGATTTTGGAAACAAGAGATGTAGTAGTCATTCATTCAACTTATGTTTATTGAGATTCCTCTATCTACCTTGAAGTTTTTAGCACTGATAATACTGTGGTGACCACAAGAGACAGGGATTTGTCCTCAAAGAGCTTAGAGTCAAGCAGCAGAAACAGACAGATACACACATGTATGTACATACACACACAATTAACATTTTTGTACTAAGAAGAAAAATAAGAGCATACACTAAATGATAGTAGTCAGAAAGTGCTGATCATATTTGAGGGAGGGGAGCAGTTATAGTATGTCCTCTCTAAGGCAGTGACAGTTAAAGGGAAAACTGAATGGCAAGTAGGTATTGATTGTGGGGGGAAAAAAACAGAGGAAATAGTACATGTAAAGGCCTTAAAGCAGGAAGAACTTGTCTTTGGGAAGATTGGAAAGGTGGCCCGTCACTGTGGCTCTAGCACAGGAGTGAGGGGTATAGTGGCCTAAGGCAAGGCAGCAGCTAATCCCAAGGGGTCTCGTGGGCCATGCTAAGGAGTTGGGAGATTTTCCTTAATGCAGCGGGAGGCTATTAGAAGGTTTTAAACCAGGCAGTGACACAGCCTGATTTATGTCTTAAAAAGATGGCTCTAGCTGGAGAGAATGGATGGAGTGGGGGCAGGTGCGGGAAGGCTGTTACAGGTGATGGATGACGGTGACTTGGTTGGAATGGCGGCAGTGGAGATGGAGAAAAGTGGATGGGTTTGAGATGTAATTTGGAGATGAAATTGACAGGGCTTGGCAAGAAGAGAACAGAGTGTTCAAGGAGAGGGATGGGGATGGCAGTGGGAGGGAGGAGGGCAGCAGTGAGTGGCCTGGCCTGGCTTCGAGGGAGGCTGACAAGGAGAGGGCCACAGCATCTCTGCCTCTGTTTAACCACTGAAGCCCGTCTCGATCCGAGCGCCCTTTATGTCTCATTGCAGCAGAATGATGGGCAGTTCACAGTGATCCAGCTGGTGGGTATGCTCAGGGGCATCGCTGCTGGCATGAAGTACCTGGCCGAGATGAACTATGTGCACCGGGACCTGGCTGCAAGGAACATTCTGGTCAACAGTAACCTGGTGTGCAAGGTGTCTGACTTTGGCCTCTCCCGCTACCTCCAGGATGACACCTCAGACCCCACCTACACCAGCTCCTTGGTGAGTCCTTCTTGGAATTCTCAGGTAGAAGCATGGCAGGAGTGAAAGGTGGTTGCATGAGGCTGGGGTCCAGCGCAAGGCATACTGGGTGGGACTGGGACCTGAACTGATCTCTCCACTGGGGGACCCAGATGCCAGGAAGACCATCCATCCAGGAGAGGCAATAGCAGCTAGTTGTCCAGACAAGCAAGCATTTGGGAAGAGGCTCTGAGGAAGCCTCGGTGTCTGCTCTGAAGCCATGGTGTTCCTTGGCCAGTGGGAAGAAGAACTTTTGGAACAGATGATTTGGAGGAGTCCAAACAGGTGGACAGTGCCATCTGCAGCAGGGCACAGGTCTTGATCCCAGTGCCCTTTATGCCTCATTGCAGCAGAATGATGGGCAGTTCACAGAGATCCAGCTGGTGGGTAGCTTTGAGTACCATAGACATGATGAGTGAGTACTCTTAAATTAGTATTTCCTGCTCAGCCTCCCCCTCCACATCCTGAGTAGCTCTAATCATCTATAACCAACTGCCTAGTTCACACAATTCCGTTTAGAACTTTAACAAGTCCAAAATAGAGCTCTCTAGATTTACTCTCCAATATCCCCTCCTTAGTCTTTCCATCTCAGGAGCTGGTGCTACTTAACTAAAGACTGAAACCTTAGAATCATCCCTGGTTTCTCCCTGTCCTTCTATGTCCGACCTCTCAGCAACTCCTGCAAGTTCCCATGAAATCTATCCTTCTCTTCCATCTCCACTGTCACCACCCTGTTCCAAAGCCTCATTCACCTGCCCCTGGATTGTTACAGTGTCTTCTTAACTAGTGTCCCTGGCTTCCTTTTGTCCCTTTACATCCATTTCCAACAGCATCCAAAGTGATGGATCTACCTACTTACCTGCCTAGCTAGCTGTCTTCTTTAAACTTGCAAAAGTAATTATGCTATTATAAAAATCAAAATAATGCATAGAAGTACAAGGAAAAGAATAACTAATAAGCTACAATTCTCCTGAAACAGGGGTTGGTATACTTTTTCGTAAAAGGCCATCTAGTCAATATTTTAAGCTCTTCTGGCCAAGAAGCAAAATAAGAATATTATGTAGATAATTATGTGACCCTTTTACAGTGTAACCCTTTAAAAAGTTATAAACATCATTCTTAGCTCACGGGCTACAAAAAAGTGACCAGCCGGGTTTGTGGCTCAGGCCACAGTTTGTCTACACCTGTCCTGAAGCATCAGTTTCAACAGTTAGGTGTGTCTCCTTTCATATTTTCCTCTTAGTTCAAAAAGTTGAAAATTTGTAATCTATCAAATTGGGATCATGCGATGCATCTGCATTCTTGTGTGTCTCTTAGGCATTCTTACTGCCAGGTTGCTTTTCCAAAAGTTTGTAAACACTCACACTCCACCAGGAATATATGGCGCCTGTCTTCAGCATCCTCACCAGAACTAGAGGTGATCAATCTTTAAAAATTTGCTAATCCAACAATGAAAAATGATACCTCATCTTATTTTAATTTGAATTTTCAACTGACTGCTAGTGATACTAATGTCTTCTCACAGTGTTGCGGGAATTCATGTTTCCTCTACTATTAATTGTCTATACGTGTTCTTACCTGTTTTTATTGGATTGGTTGTTGGTTTCTAGGAAACTTATATGAAGTCAGTTTATATTGAGGATATTATCCGTTTGCCTGCCATACATGATACAATTTATCTTTTTCCCCATCTATTGCTCTTTTATGATGTTTATGATATACTCTGGCTTGAAGAGTGGTTGATATTCCTGTAATATTTATCTATTCTTCTACATCTTCTTGGATTTCCTGGTTTGTTTTAAAAGTTCTCTTCATTCCAAGATTATAAATTATTTTTTGACATTTCCTGTACTATTTTACTGGGGCAGGGGTTTGTTCTGTATTTGAATATTTAGTACCCTAAAGTTTATTTATTTTTTCCAACATTTTGAAAAAATTTCAAACACACAGAGAACTTGATAGAATTTGGCAGAGAACAGCCATATACCCACCACTTACATTCTAGAATTAATATCTTGCTACATTTGCTTTATCATGTCACTATCCATCTATCTGTCTGTTTATCCATCACTCCAACTATTTTTTGATGCACTTCCTAGAAAGTTGCAGACATCATACCTCCCCTAAAAGCTTTAGCACACATCTTTAGCTGGGGTTAAATATTTGTTTATAGTTCTTTTTTGTTCAAGGTACAAAATAATGAAATGCACAAGTCTTACGTGTGCATTTACAGAATTTTAGCAAATGCATATATCTAGGTAGCCCCAACTCTCATCAAGATACAGAACATGGCCATCTCTCCAGGGAGTCCTCTGCCCCTGCAGTCCCCAAACCCCAGGCCACAGATCAGTACCAGTCTGTGGCCTGTTAGGAACCAGCCACACAGCAGGAGGTAAATGGTGAGCCAGCAAGCAAAGAAGTTTCATACGTATTTATAGCCGCTCCCCATCGCTCTCATCACCTCCTGAGCTCCGCCTCCTGTCACATCAACATAAGCATTAGATTCTCACAGGAGCGTGAACCTTTTTATAAACTGTGCATTCAAGGGATCTATCTTGCATGCTTGTTTTGAGAATCTAATGCCTGATGATCTGAGATGGAACTGTTGCAGTGATGCTAGCGCTGGGGAGCAGCTGCAAATACAGATTATCATTAGCAGAGAGGTTTGATTGCACAGTAAATGTAATGCACTTGAATCATCCCAAAACCTTCCCCTTCCCCCCAGCCCATGGAAAAATTGTCTTCCATGAAACCTGTCCCTGGTGCCAAAAAGATTTCCACCCTGTCCCATTTCCACCCACCCACCCTGTTCATCACCATTTAATCCTCACCCTCACCCACACTTAGAGGCTACCACTGTTACAATTGTTTTCAATCATAGATTTGTTTTAGAACTTCATTTAAGTGGAATCATACAAAATATGCTCTTTTGTGTCTGGTTGCTTTCGCTTAGCATTATATTTGAGAGAATCATTCACACCTGTGGAGCAGGAGTTTGTTCCTATATATTACAGAGTAATATTTCAATGTTTATTTATCCATTCTTTTGTTGTTAGATACCAGGAATATTCTGGAATGTATTTTTGAATATGTATTGGGAAGTATATTGTTATGCTGTTTTGTTCAGGTGAATAGACAATTATGTCAACATTATTTATTAAATATATTATTCATTTTTATGGAATCACATGCCACTGTTGACATATTAACTTCCTTATATGAGCTATGTTTCTATTCTCAATTCTGCTCCATTGACCTATTAATTCTTGTGTTCAACTATATTATTCTGTTTATAACAATGTTAGCAAAAGTTTTACTATCTGTATTCTGATTATAATAATTTTAGTAAAAGTCTTACTCTATGGGTAAAGCAAGTTATCCTTCACTATACTTTTTTTTTAGAAAAAAATAATTCCCTGTTTGTTTCAAATATCTTTTCTTTCAAGTACAATTTATTTTTTTGAAGAGATATCTGCACTGCCATGTTTATTACAGCACTATTCACAATAGCCAAAATATGGAATCAACCTAAGTGCACATCAATGAATGAAGAAAGAAAATGTGGTATATATGCACAATGGAATATTATTCATTCATAAAATAGAATGAAATTTTGTAATTTATAGCAACATGGATGGAACTGGAGCTCATCATCTTTTTTATTTATTTATTATTTCAGCATATTACGGGGGTGCAAATGTTTAGGTTACATGTATTGCCTTTGCCCAACACAAGTCAGCTTGAAGTGTGTCTATCCCCCAGATGATGCATACCACGCTCATGAGGTGTGTATATACCCATCCCCTCCTCCCCCTCCACCTGCCCAACATCCAATGAATGTTACTACTATATGTATACTTAATGTATACATTAATACATTATACTTAATGTATACTTAATGTTGATCAGTTAATACCAATTTGATGGTGAGTACATATGGTGCATATCCATTCTTGTGATACTTCACTTAGTAGAATGGGCTCCAGCTCTATCCAAGATAATACAAGAGGTGCTAGATCACCATTGATTTTGTGGCTGAGTAGAAGTCCATGGTATATGTATACCATGTTTTATTAATCCACTCATGTATTGATGGGCACTTGGGTTGTTTCCGCATCTTTGCAATTGTGGATTGTGCTGCTATAAACATCCAGTGCAATTTAAAATCACCTGTACAGTTCCAAGACATGCACGTATACATGCACACATATGCACATCCTTTGCCAGAAATATGGTGGGTTTTTCTTTTGGAGTTTTGGCCACTGAACAGACTGCAGTGTCTGCAGCTCCCCTTAGCGCAAAGCTGCAAATGGTAAAACTTTGTGGTGTTCAGTTTTCAGAACCTTCATGTAGTTTTTCTTTTCTTTTCTCTTCTCCTGTATTTTGCTGTTTGCTATAGAGTCCATGTGTTAGAAGCATACTCCTCTGCACCAAAAATGGAACCTTCAGCTTATTACCCTTAATCAGCAGTTCTATTAGACAGTCTTAAGACCTCTCCACTCCATCTTAATTCCCCTATTTCATGCAGTTCTTTCGAGATCTTAACATCACCATCTTCTAATACATCTGGTTTTACTTTATAAGTGAAGACTTCATTAATAGCTATTAAAGTTTTCTAGTTTTTCCTACTAGGTCCTCAACCTTCATCTCTCACTCTGACTTAATTCTCTGCCATACTTTCCCCCAGGTGTTCCTTCTCTGTTTTAAATTGCCATTTCTAGCCCCAGGAGCATTTCCTTCCCAATAGGCTCCTGAAATAATGAACAGATAGAATTTGCTTCTTTGTGCTTTCTTATGATTAGAATGAACCCACTAAACCAGGGAAGAGTTCTGAACTGCTACTAATATTCCTGCCCTTTAAGAGGTACAATAAGTGAGCTAGGCTGGACTCTGAACACTTGTATGATTTATACAACTTTCCTTTTGGTGGATATGTTTCTGAATCCTGTTATGTATTCCAATAAACATTCCCATGGTTGCAT